GTTCTCCCCACCCTCATCATCCTCCTCAACTCCTCCTACTCATCGCCTGGTCCTGCTATTCCTCCATAATCATCATCGAAGTCAACATCATCATCATCATCATCATCATCATCATCATCATCATCGTCATCATCATCATCATCAGCATCATCATCATCATCATCATCATCATCATCATCATCATCATCATCATCATCATCATCATCATCCGCAGCAGCAGCAGCAGCAGCATCATCAGCATCATCATCATCCTAAGCATCAGCATCAGCATCAGCATCAGCATCAGCATCAGCATCAGCATCATCAGAATCATCATGATCATCACAGCATCAGCATCAGCATCATCAGAATCAGCATGATCATCATCATCAGCGGTATCATCATCATCATCATCAGCGGCATCATCATCATCATCATCAGCATCATCATCATCATCATCATCATCGTCATCATCATCCTCGTCATCATCATGCATAATCACCATCAGTAGCAGCATCAATCTCATCACCGTCATCATCATCAGCATCATCATCGCCAGTATCGTCATCATCATCGTAGTCAGCATCATCAGCAGCATCATCATAAGCACCATCATCGTCAGCAGCATTATCATCATCATCGTCATCATCATCATCATCGTCGTCATCATCATCATCATCATCATCATCATCATCATCATCATCCCTCTCCTCCATCCTTCTCCTTCTCTCCCCCCTGATTGGATGACGGGGTCCCGTTAGAGATTCGGGGATAGCCGGGAGTGAGGGGGAACGTTAGGGGGGGCCAGGTCAGGGGCGGACACATCGGACTGGAATCGCCGATGGGTCGGCGACAGGCCCTCGATAACAAAACTCCACGCTCCTGCGGGGTGGACTGTCGGGCACCTCTCGGCGATCAATGAACGATCAGGGTTCTATGCATCCTCCCCAGGGATACCCAGACTTCCTCTCGTTGTGAAGGATGGTTATATATATATATATATATATTAAAAAAAAAAAAAAAAAAAAAAAAAAAAAAAAAAAAAAAAAAAAAAAAAAAAAAAAAAAAAAAAAAACGACGGACGGTTTTTTCAACTTTCGGCGTCCCTGGGTCATCACCAGCCCCAGCGGACCGTCAAAAAAATGCTCTGGATGAGAAGCCGGTCCCCGGGAAGGGATCCAGACCTCTGGGGGTCAATGACGTAGGGTCTGGGGTGCGCCTCACCTATGGGGTTGGGGCAGGCCGTGGTTGGACTGGGCCCCATCCCCTCCTCCTCTCTCTGTTCCCCATCCCTGCCCCTTATAAACACTATCCCCCGTCGCATCACCAGAGTGTCCGTGGGTTGGGCCGGGCGGTTTGTTGGACGCTTCATTACAATTCATCCACCACTGCGATTGCAGCAATTGGTGTGTGTGTGTGTCGGGTCTCTGATCAGTTCGTTACGTCCACTTCTGGCGAACCAACAGCAAAGGCCCCCTGGCGCATCGAATCCAGCACGCGTTCCCTTGTTTGCCCGAGTCCCTGGTCCCATTGCCCGCCTGTGATCCCCCTTGGCTGCTGTTGCGGAGACTGGCGTCTGAGGCCGAAACCCACATCAACTCCTCAAACGGAGTAGACCACACTGTCATACCCAACTCTGCAGTCTCCTTCACGTGCTTCACCAGCTGGTTGATCTCCTCCACGTCGTCGTACGTCAGCTTGCGCAGCGCCTGCTGCAGCAAACTGCACTTTCCTGCGCCATCCGCTCGAAGTTTTCGCGTAAGCCATATGAGAGACCCAAGTATCGCACATGCCTGACTGCACTATCCTGGGCGCGCAGCCCTCGCCCCCATTCTTCCCCTTGGTTATCTTCACCGGTGCAAGTCTCTCTTCTACGAACTTCTTCATAGTCACATGGGAATTGAACCCCTCGTCCTGCGCATAGCAACGGTCATTGAACATGGCGCCTTCAGAGTCTTTCCACGGAGGCTTAACCTTCCCGAACCTCCTCAGCTCTCTCAGCTGACTCATCTTCACCCGGCGCCGTCCGCCACCAACATCAAGGATGCCGTCGACCTCCACGACCACGATCCCCTCGACGTCCGCCTGGCACTGAATACCTGGCCCACTGACTCCTCGTTGTCCTCCCAAGTCTGCAAGCCGCACTAGCGGCTGCACTGGCGTCTCGGCAGGGAACAGAATGAGCACCGTAGGATCCAGCGCACTTCGACGATAGCCGAGCTCCACCAGGTCTCTCTTGAGCCCATTTCGGAAATGAAGGGTGCATCTCCCAGCCCATAGACTCCCGAGACCAACTCGATCAGTTACCCGGGCCCCATGCCAGGTAGTCCGCTCTTCGGCTGCTCAGCGCACAGCTTGCCATTCTCCCTTGCCAGCTAATCGGACTGCATGAATGCCTTCCACAGGTCTCCGATGGTTGCCCCCCACTTGTTGGACGCCGCGATCTGCAGAACCATCATGAAAGAACTAGTCGCCACCGTCGGAGCTGACCTCACGAATGACAGGAAGTCTGGATCTTGGTCCCCCCTCACACACCACCTGCTCTTGAAGCTCGCGGGCGCTCCGATCTGTTCCGACGGTTTCTTTCTCCTGACCACGCGTGAAGGAATGATGCGATCCTCTTCCCCCTGGCGCACCAGAGCCTCTCGCGCCCTGCGACTGTCCTCCGGCGATGGCACGCGCGCCCCTCCAATGGACTTCACCCCATCCCACTCGGTAGCACCTGACGCAATCCACTCGGGCCCTTCCTCCGCGGGAACACGTCGCTCTTGCACTTCGTCTCCTCCACACTTCTTGGTAAAATACACCTCCACGTAGAACGCACAGCGGGGGGCTGCCTCGACCAAGAATATGTCCTCCTCCATTTCACTCCACCAGTCGTTGCGGAGCAGGGCTTCGTCACCCCCCTCAGGAATAGGACTCGTCCTCGGAGCCTTTGAACCCGGGTCCAGGGTCTGGTTCGCACTGACCGCCCGCTCGATGGCAAACTCGATCTGGCGCCTCGTCGCCCCAGGCCCTCCCCCCCCCCCTTCCAACCTGCGCGCCGGCCCGCGGCAAAGCCCCGACACGCCCCACTCCATCCCAGGGGTGTCCGACACCTCCTTGATGCTCTTGGCAGCCGCCGCGGCAGCTATCTGGAGTAGCTCCTCCCCCCCCCCCTTGTCGCGGAACTCGCGCCTCGGCTTGACGTTCCGCTCGAACGGCTCGCTCAGTGCATCTCCCACTTCCTTCTCGGCTCCCTTGCGCATCTCCTCGCCCTCAGGACCCCCCTGGGTCTGCCTCCTGGTTTCTCCCGCGGGTTCAGAAGTTCCTTCAGGTTGAGACGCTTCCGGCCCCGCCTCTGCGCGCCCTTCATCTTCCGAGGGTGGAACTGGGACACCCTCTGCGGGTTCTCCACGTAGACCTGGAGGCCCCTCAACCAGTCGAGGCTCAGCGCGTCCTTCATGATGTTGATGAAATTCGCGATCTCCCTCCCAAGCCCACTCAGGAGGTGGCCCCTCTGCGGCCACGTCGGAAAACCATGTCTCCCCCCGCGCTTGCCTAGCTGTTCTCGAAGATCATCGTAGTGGGCGCCTAAAAGTTCAGCACCTCGACATTCATCACTCGTCGCAAGCCTCACCTGCTCCAGGCTGCACTGCCACAGCTCACCCTTGCGGTTCACCCATACAGACCCGTCCTTCACCATGAGCGCGACACACGGCCCAATCCACCTCTCCTTCCTGTAGTCTGGACTCCGCCGATCACCGCTGTCCTCGGTGAACTTCCCATGCTCTGACCCGATCCCCCCGTTGCACCTGCGGTCGGGGACGCGCGCCACTCGCCAGGACCCGCTTGATATGACTGCGGATGTCCATTTCCATCATCGCTCGGGGCGCTGCCACTCCCAGTCGATGGCCTCGCTGTAACTCGGTATCAGGGTCCTGCGCGAGTAGT